ATAAAGATGACAACAGAAAGCACCTTTATAGAGGAAAAGGTTGCCGCCGAGGGCAAATGGGGTCCTTACTACGACCCGGTGGCTGAGGCCTCCCCCGAGATGCGCAAGATCGTGGGCGAATCGTGCTCGACGCTTGGCGGCACGGCGGCCGTCCTGCTGCAGATAGCTTACAAGTCCGTGGGACTAGGCGTGGCAGCCCACAGCTCCTTCACGCTGCGGCCCATCCAGCGCGGCCGGCGCTCCGTCGTCTACATCTACGCGCAGGTCTTCGGCAGCCTCGCGGAACGGCGCTACGTCACGGACCAGACGCACAGGGCGCACGCGCACGTCAAGGGCGCCGGGTACGACGCCGACGACGTGGACGCCCAGCTCTGGGTTGCCGCCACCACGTACTGGTCGCTCATCGCCTCGTACGAGCTGGTCCTGGGCAAGCTCGACGACCGGACCGCCGACCAGGTGTACCGCGAGTTCAGCGTCATGGCCACGGGCCTCCGCGTGCCGCCCGAGCGGTGGCCCGAGGACCGCAGGGCCTTCCAGGAGTACTGGGACGCCCAGGTCGCGGCGCTCGAGATCACCCCGGAGGCCCGCCAGGTCGCGCAGGACGTGCTGTACCCGGCCAAGCACCTGTCCTTCCCTCTGTCGCTGCTCCTGCGCCTGATGGGCCCCTTCTTCAGGACCGTCAACATCGAGCTCCTGCCCGAGAGAGTGCGGAACGAGCTGGGCATCCCAAGCACCGACTACACGAAGAAGGCGTACAAGAGAATGATGAAGATCCACAACGCAATATACCGCGCCACACCAAAATTTGTGAGGCATCTGCCCAAGAACATCTACATGTGGGACTTTAGGCGCCGCATGGCCAAAGGGGCCGCGCTGTGAAGAGCGTAGCACGGCATAGTTAAGACAAACTCGCCAGTAATCGGAAATCAAAGAGACTTTGGGAGAATTGGAAGCAGAGTTTCAAGTCCATCTTGACGAATATATTGTAGTCGTAATGAATTTTACAAACTGAAGCTCTTTATCTGTGTAGTAATGGCTTGAGGCTAGGATATTTATGCAGTATGATCATTAGTAAACAACGGATTCCCTGTGCTAGGATCTACCTCTGTATCTCTAGGATATCATTTCATTGATAATGGAGGAGCTGTCTATATCACTAAGCAAGTCCCGAATACATATATACAGAACTACTTCAAAGCAAACATAAACAGTTGGATCTCAGTGAGGCAGGCTTACGAAACTGCCTATACATAAAACGAAAGGCGGGAAATTCCATGGTCCTTTTCCCGTGACTGAAATCTTTGCAATATTTTTGCCGATATCATTATTGCTCCTTAACAACGAGCACATGCATGTCGCCCATGGAGTAGCCCAGGACATGGGTTTCCTCGGCTCCGCAAATTCGGACCCGAAGCTCACTTTTTGGCGAGAATACCTTTCCTTGTCCATAGGTTCCTTCCTTTTAATAGTACCAACAATCCACTTCAAAGTCTCATGCAGTGCTGCGTGATCAGATGACCAGGGTTGCAAGGTTGCCTTTCAAACTTTGCAATTTGACTAGAACAAAACTCCTTTGACCTGTTGAATATCTGACACCTTGATGTTCTTAATCATCATGACCCATATGAGTGACAAGCCCATAATGACTGTGCCTGCAATCAGCATGCGCGTCTGAGCTTGTGCGTATGCTTGAATAATGGCATCTCGGGTAGGGCTTCCCCATTCGAAGCTAAGCTGCATGTCAAGATCATCATAGATGTCCTGCCAGATATCCAAGGACTCGCTGGGCAGGTACTGCTGGAGGAAATATGGCAGCGTGTTGGTCCATACGGCACCCGAGATGCTGCTGCCCACCGCGCCGCCTATGTAGCCGAATAGGCCAAGAAGAGCTAGCACGGCAGCGACGTTCTGGTGCTCGACCACAGCCATGACAGACACCTGCTCGACAATGATCATGGTGCCGCCTGCAAGGGCTATGAATATCTCAGACATCACAATAAAGCCAATGGGGGTGGTTGGCTGGCGGAAGTAGATGAGCAACCCGACAAATAGTATGTACACGGGAACAGCTATCAGTCCCAGCCAGCGGTATCTGCCGCTGAATTTGATAAGCCAGCCAACAACTAGCAGCCACACACCGGCAACCACGTCGAAGATATTGCCGATCCAGCCTGCTTGCTCGATCGAGGCGTTATACACCACTTGCAGATAGGAACTGAAATAGCCATTCCAGCAATAGTAGGCTACCTGGTATGTGGCGCCCATGAGACAGGCACCAATGATTGTGCGGTCGAGTAGTAAGTGGTAGGGAATGAAAGGCTTGGGAGAAAACCACTTCTCGAAGATCCCGAAAGCAATGAGGCAGACGACACCGACTACAAGCATTGCGATGATGCCTCCTGAGGCCCACTCGTCCTCGGCTGACGCTGCAATTGAGAATGGTAATAAGAGGAGGACCAAGCCGAAAGCAAGGAGAATAATTCCAATGACTGAAGTTTATATCATGTCAACAGATATTCCAAGTAAACAAATTATGCATAACCTTTTGAAAGACATATGTAAGGGGGTGGACTGACTGTCAAACTCTACGCAGTAGTGGATGAAGCTCTGCCACCAGGTCCGGCCACTAAGCTCCTTCTTGATGAGCCCTTGGCTTCGAGCCTTGTTCTGTGCCAGCTGCATGGTTAAGAAGAGCGGGAGCGCGACGACGGGCAGCACGATGGCCCAGACGCCGAAACCCCAGCGCCAGCTGATGGCGCCGTCCTCCCAGAAGTCCTCGGCAGCGGCGGGGCCGGCGAAGGCGGTGATGATGTAAGGGCTCGAGGTGAAGGCGAAGGCGAGGCCCCGGTCGCGCAGCGACGACGAGTCGGCGGTCATGACGTCGACGCTGTAGGTGACGCCGACGAAGCCCACCGAGTAGAAGACCTGCGCGGCGCAGTACGTGTAGATGCCCTGGCACGTGGCCATGAGGACGAGGCCCAGGGTCGCCAGGCCGGCCATGAGGGCGAACCCGAGGGGCCGCCCCCAGATGTCGAGCAGCTTGGCCTGCGGCAGGTAGGTCGCCGCGGACATGACGTTGCAGACGACGGCGATAGTGGGGATCAGCGAGTGTGCCGAGAAGTCGCTGATCACGTACGGGGTCAGGTTGGAGGTGATGGACGACTGGAAGGCGTTGGTGAAGTACAGTAGCCAGAAACTGGACAGGGTAATGGTCAACATAACGTGCTATCTACTCGAATATATAACAGCTCGGAGATGACAACTAAAATCAGCAGCACGAGAAGGATGGTATACTCACCATATGTACGAGATGGCCAAGCTGGTCTTGGTCCAAGTCGTTGTCATGGCCTCCGCAGCAGAAACACCGCTTTGGACGTTGGCAGTGGGCTCACGCTTCTCATTACCGTCATTGCCGGCTTCAACATCTTGTGGTGTAATTTTGGTCTCTCCATTGGTTTTCTCCATGGACGAACGAGAATCTCGGCCAGTTCCGGCACCAGCTATAACTCTGGTGACTTGATCACCCGGGGGCGGAGGTTGAGAAGTCATTGCTTGTTCCCTAGGATATGTGCTCACCTATGGAGTTGTGATTTGTCTAGAGGTTCATTAGGTCTACTACAGCATGTTTTGAGCCCGGGGCTAAGTGAGCGCTTTTATATACAAGCAGTGTCTTTCGTTTACATCGGGTCTGCGAGTGTGGCCTCTTTCCCTCGACATTTCCCGAGTCTCTATTGGGCCGAATATCGCAAGCAGGCCGCGCACATCTTCACCTGCTTTTTCAACATCCCAGTCCAACCCACATATATCCCGGTTATCTGATGATCTAGATAACTCTTACATCTTGGCACCAAGAGTTTTTCTGGATACCGTGCAAGATTTCCCCCCCACCGAGTTTTTTTCCCTTCTGTTCTTGCAAGCGACGGACTGTTCGTCACGAATAATGGCCAACGATATCGGACTTGTTTTTGATCACGATTCTGCAGTAGCCAATCTCCTGGTGATGCCCAAGATATTTACCTCTCCATTTTTGGCCCATCCCGCGCTCGGAGACTGCCAGTAGGGCTAGATAGATCCCTAGAGCGCAGCAAGTTTACAAAGAGAGGAGAACTTTGGCTTGGTGCCAAGGCTATAGGTGCAGGCCAAGATCTTGGTGCCAAGACTTGGTCGACTTAGAGACCCAAGGCGACCTCCTAGGATAACCTGTGACCAGCAAAAGTCTTCCGACCGAAGCCCTAAACAAAAGTTGTTGACCTTGGCAGGAAATAGAAGCTTAGGTGGATGGTGTGATTTGATAATTGCGCAGCAGCAAGCCAAGAAAGCTGCCGAGCAACTTGCGGGAAGTGGGTGTCCACCAAGTTTATACCGACTGTCCTTGCTCATCTCCACGATACGCGTGACAAGAGCCATTAAGCTCAGCCCCTTGTTGTGCCCAGACACTCGCTTCACCATTCTGATATAGTATTTTCCCGTATTACGTAAAACACAGCCGGTTGTTGTGATCCTCACATGGGCAACCAGGGCGCTGGTTTTTAGCCTGGTATAAGGCAGCCCATCAGTACAACGTTTTTCTTGGAGGGGGAGAAAAAAAAGGAAGGTTTGAGTCCAACGGCGTATTTACATAGTTGATTCCATAAATATTCGATGATTCATTGCAGCATAGTTAATTGGGTGCACCGAATGCGTGCCGGAGCTGTCTACTTTTGAACCTTTGCTTGAGTATAGAGCGTTTACGGGAGAGGGAGCTCAGCAGTAGCCACCTACACTTATGGGATGCTGGAGAAGGAAATATCATCCCCATGCATAAACCTATCGGTCTGGCTCCGTCAAGAGAAATCCACCGTGATCGTACTGACGATAAACGCCTGACGCTAGAATGGGTTGCCTCAAGAGTGGGACGGTGGACCCCAATAGAAAAAGAGCAGCCATGGCAAGCTAGTCCTCACGACGCCGGCTCATTAGCTATATAGTGGATTATAAACTCAGAAGCTAACATCTAATTGGCTGCATTGGTCTAGTGGTTAGGATCTTCGCCTTCCAAGCGAAGGGGCAGGGTTCGATTCCCTGATGCAGCAACTCAAAGCTTTCTTTTTGGTCCTTTACTTTTTCATCTTTTCCTGGGAAAGGAAACAGGGTGGTGCATCTGTGTGGCATGAGGCGAAGCATGAGGCGAGGCATCGTCCGAATGCGTTCGTTCTCTCTTTTGCCGGAGTATCGTTCTCGTGTCGAACTCCAGTGTTAGTCATGCGCATATGCTTGCCAACCTTGGGGTAAGTTACCTGAAAGTGCGAAGGTGATGAAGTACTGTTTTGAATCGCATGCACGAAAACCAGAATTGAGCAGTCAGAAGGTTTCATTACTTTCAGCCAGACTAATTACGAGGTCGAGTTGCGGGTTCTCTAGTTGCTGCTCCATGCTGGGTCGGTAACATGATCGGAGACGTAATTTATGTGGCAGACATTTCACTTAGTGTTCATAAAAAGGTTATTGAATGCTTCTTGACAAATATATTAACACTGCTCGTGAGGTGAGTAGTGTTGTCTACGTCATACTCATTATGAGCTTCCCACTGACTGTATTCCAAGCAGCCGGGCCTCCCTTCTTCCCTATATACTATGCGATATTTATTTCTGTACGCTTTCCAATACAATGCCACGATTCGTAACCATCATGGACCAATATACACAAGACTCCAGGATTCTGACCGAAACCCAAAAATTGAAACGCCACGCTTGATGCTGGGGTATTCCTCTATACGGATGCATCGTCCCCGTGTTATTAACCCGATTCTCTCCCTTCTAAACTCGTCGTCATATTTAAAGTTGTGGTGTTGATATGGATGTTCAGTCCCAGGACCGGCCATGGGTCGACGTGCGGACGAAGTCAGCCTCTTCGACCGGCGTGCTCCCTTCGGTAATCACTGGACTCGAACTGCCGCTTGCGCTGGTGCTCGGGCTGTACAGCGTGCTGCCGTCTACGGACCACTCGTCGCTGTGGCCTGTTCCGCGTCTCTTCAAGAGACCCAGACCATACCCAAGTTCCTCATCGGACTCTCTCTGCATCTCACCAACCTCGATGAAGTCGTATTGCCACCGGTTAGCCTTGTCAGCCTGGCGATGGGGCAGCCATCTGGACCTGGCGATGAAGAAGACGATGGCGGAAAGCAGACTACCAGCGACGAGATCGACGGCGTAGTGGTGGCTGAGGTACATGGTGGCCCACCAGAGCCAGCCGACGTAGAAAATGAACAGGGACCGGAACTGGGGGAAGCAGTGACTCATAAAGAGGGCCTCGATGGTCGCATCAGCGGCATGCAGACTGGGGAAAGCGCCAAAGGGTACAGGGGCTGTCGTGAATCCCGTGGTGTACATGTCAATACCAAGAAGGGCGTCCACTCGAGCCAGTCCAGCCGGAGAACCTTGCATGCCGTAGTGCGCTGGGGCAAGCCCGTACATGTTCTCGTACCATGGGGGTGTGCAAGGGAAGACGATTGCCGATGTCACGCCAATGATGCTGATCCAGCCAAAGGACCTTGCGAACACAGGAAGCGTTCCCGGGGCGGCGAACAAGAACATGATCACGGAGCAAATAGCTGGCAGACCAAAGTGGCCCAGACCGTAGGGAATCCATGCGAGAATATCGAGAACGGGATGCGTGTGGGCAGACAGAATGTTCGAGAGGTTGGCACCGTAGAGCACGTTCTCCAGGGCAGGAAGGACTTTTACCCAGATATGTGGGCGCACTTCGTAGGGGATATATCTATCACGCGAGAATGGTCAGTCACCAACGTTATCCTGATTCTCTGCAGCAGCCTTTCTTGTTGCCAGCCTGGCAACACACGGATTCGACCATTTCTTGCGCCTTTGAGCAATTGCTTGTGGCCACAATAATCGATCCAGATGTGTAGCAAGCAGTGCGCAAGTCCAGCGGGGCAAATTTCACTTCTAACTGGGTAACTCACCGACTTGCGAAAAAGTAGAGCAAATAGGTCCAGATAGGCCAAGAGGGGAGGAAGAATTGCCTGCTAATAGGCATAAGCAGCAATAATAGGTAACCCAAGGCTGCTCCAATCTTGATGAACGGCGCGTTGGCGTCAATAATCCATATCGAGAACAGAGTCAGGGTGGTCAAGACAACATATTGCAGATCCAGCAAGGTCCATCGGTGCCTTTTCAGAGCATTGAGCGAGTCGACGATCGAGAATGAGGTCTTGAGCTTTGCGACGTGCTCCACCGGTGAGGAGTAGCCACCCCGCGAGGTGCTGCGCCTCCGTGCATGGGGCTTCGGCCGCGAAGGGGAACCTCGAGAGCCGCGGCGGAGCGCATTTCTAGGCCAGGTGAGATGCAAGGTCGGCTTGGCCTGGAAAAGGCCATTCAGTTTGAACATCGCCGTAATCTATGATCGAAGCACCGGACGGAGCGGTGCTTGTTGTCGAGGCTACAGGATGTTTGGTAGAAACTGCGGCCCAGTAACAGCTATGGTTAGGGTGCGGTGCGGGCGGAGGGCGAATAGATTGGCTGTGGAGGATGGTCGCAGCGTAATGTATTTTGCTTGTCGCCTTTGCGAGTGTCGCGGTGTCGGCTCCCGTCGCCTAAACTTTGCTTCAGAGCATCACCTGGAGCTGGCCTCCTTTTCCTCAGGCGTCGGTCTGCTTCCCAACGGCGGACTGAACGGGACGCTTTTGAACGGGAGAGAGAACAGCAGAGGTCGAGGAGTAAAAGAGAGGCGAAAGCCGGGGATTCCAGTGCATGGGAATGTGAGGTCTACATATGCAAAACTAACCGACTAGGCGGATCGCACGGCAACAGGGGTGAGGGGGATGGGTGGGCAGAGACGGCCAACCATAACGACCGGTGCCCGAAGGCGCCACCATTGGTAGAGTTTGTCAGCGCAGAAATGAACATGAGGTGTGTGGAGCAAATTCCACTAAGTTTCTGGCAAGCTAGCGGGGCGACATGGATTGGGGGGGAAGGGGCCCTAGTAGCACTACTGTAATGTACTGTACCGTAGTGGGTGCCTCTGGTGTCTGGTGTCTGGTGCACGGAAGCCCGCCGCTGCATGAGTCTGAAGGCCCATCTGTGTCGGAACCCTAGTGAAAGGTCAGAGACCTCTGAGCTCAGAGCAGATCGTTGCAGGTATTGGTACATCGCACCTTGGCTGCTGAGCTCTTCTTCTCTCTGCTCTGCACGGCAGCCCCAGTGGGGTTGTGTCTATGTACTATGTAGTTCAGGGCTCTTGCGCTCACCAAGCGTGTAAGAAGAAGCGCGAAAGCGAGCGAGAGCGAGTGAGAAATGAATGACTGAATGAAAGAATGATTGAACGGGCGCTAATTCGTTACGCAGAGTACGTAACTACCTATACGCACCGCAATGGGAACCCACGCGCTCGCTCGCTCTTGGCCCCCATCAGCGCTCTCACTGGTAGGCACAGAAGCACCTGTCCATTCATCGGGCTGCTGCATTCCCCCGCCCCAGACAAAAGCACAAAAGTAAGCAGAGAAACAGTAAGTTTAATCCATGTAACTTTGCCGCAGCCTCTATGCGGCATAACTTCAGTACGTACCAACCGCTTGCCCCGATCCACGGGAGCTATGTCGTCCTTAAGGGTCCAAAACTGATCGCGATAAGAGCGCCTCAATTGTCCGAGGACGACAAACGCCGAGCTCCCATCGCTCGGTCGCGGGGCGATCGAGGTTTCCGTCGCCTAATTCATCAGAGTCGGCAATGAATGAGTCCCACTGGTACGGCCGCTCTCTAGGCGTGACTAAGGGTCAGGCGATATGAGAACCATCAGCTACTCACCCTCAAACCCCCAAGGAGAGACATCAATTTGGGTAGGAGTTTAACTTCAGTGCTGGGTGTGTACCGTAACGACTGGAGATGACTTACAGTCATTACTGAGCATGGCATGCAGCCTATACAATACGCATACGCGGATCCACTCAAATGGATCACAGGCTCATCGGGCACATGCACAGTCACGGGCACCCGGAGACCAGCGCTACACACGCATAGATGCTTACATATTGCCCAACTCAACAATTTGAGCACGGCGTCTGCTAGAATTCCTCAACGTGCGTTGTGAGCCAAAAAAAAAAAAAAAAAAAAAAAAAACCTTCAGAAAAGAACCCTGTATAACCGGAATTCGGCAGGATTAGGATCCTGTAATTCCAGGTAGCCCCTACTGCCTATCACATCATTATCCGAGAGCCTTGTGGGTTGCGTGAACCCCAGAAACCTGTGGCGCTGGGGCTTGCAGCTCTCACCTCATTACTCGCCAGTAAAACGCCCTAGCCTCGCACGAGGGCAAGGTTTGGATAGCGATGACGGAAACTCTCCCCTGCTCTGCATGCTAGAAGAAACCAAACGTGCCTGGGGCATCCTAACTTGTGGGTAGGGTCAAAATTTCCATGAGCGATGCATTTCAATGTGCTTTACCAGGGCGCCATGTCCGAGCAGAGGCGAAGGGGAGAACTATCAATTAACAGTGAGTAGCAATTCTATATGCAACCAGCGGTCCGGGTGCGCGCACGCATGGGCATATGTGATATTGAATCACTAAATCGCAAGGACCCAGATAACTCTGGCCACATTCTAGACGGATTGATCTTCACAGGCGCGCTGGCGATCTTGCCGCATATGGCTAACCGAGAGAAAATATCTTGTACGTCTGCCACTGAAGCCCACTCGTACTCTCGCCAAAAAGAGCCCACCTTCCCTATTTCCAGCAACCTCTTGGATTTAAGCTTAACGAACAACGCCGAATCCATGGGTGCAAACCTCAACCCGACAAAGAGCGAGAAAACCTTTACCATTTGCCGTTGGACGATGGCCTCGGCCGGCAACATGCTACATGATAGGTTTAGGATCGGTCGGGGACGGGGACGCATCTGGGATCGGTTGAAAGATAGCGCTCTGTCGTCGTCATCATCAATCACACTGGCTAGCTCCAGGGTCCTCCTTTTTTCTCAGTCGCTCTTAAAATCTGCCGCCTTTTCTTTTCCCAATTCAGACACATGGCACCAGAGCGCCCCAGCAATCGGCCAAAAGTACCTCTACTTGTGCCAAATCCCTGA